CGTTTTTATGAAAGTCGACAAATGTCTGTGTAAAAAATTTGTAAGCAATAAATAGTAAAAGCAGATTAGATTTGGAGTAGAACTTATGAATATGTATTTTAGCAGATTTTCTTAAAGAAGCCATATAGGTGAATAAAAACATACAAAACTTCTTCGTTATCCTGCATCACGTCGGCAGAGCCGGCCGTCGAAAGAGAGCGCAAATTGACACTGTCATTCGTTTGAGAGAAAATAGTTGGTCCCACTGTTTCAGAATACCTTTTTGCAGATTCACTGAGAGTGGCAGAAACCTACGAAACGAAACGCCGAATTTACTAAATGGAAAGTCTACTCCATCAAACTTTCCAATTTATCCGTACCTACTGCCAAACCTAATCCACTCAATTACAACTTACACTTTAGCTTTAAAACTTAAATGTTCTTCGCTTTTTTAGATTGAAGTCATCGCTAGTTTGCTGTAGGATCTATTGAAAAACAAGCGAATCTTTATGCTACTAGTTAATTAGACAACGAAATGATGAGACGTTAAACAAACCACTACGACTGTGTAAGATAAATGAAATTAGGGCAAGAAAGGACATGATGCCAGCTAGGTGAAAAATCAAGCGGATCCGAAAGTGAAGGTCGGTTGCCGGAAAAACATCTATAGCACGCAAGTAATAGTACCTTCGACAAAGTTGGTACTGGAACTTTTCCAATGTCCAGATTTCTAACCTCAGAATCAAAATGTTAAAAACAGAAAACGCTTCACTTTTTTATCATTATTTTTGAAGATTTTATTTTGAAAAATTAATAGTTTATAACAAATATGTTTGAACAAAAACAAAAAGCAACATACAAAAGTAGATAAGTGATAAATACAAAATTAGAAAATTTCGGTAAAAATACAATAACAACTTCAAAAATTAAAACTTTTTGTAGTTCTTGTAAACAGCATAAAGTTTTCACAGTTGTAGTGAATAAAATAAAAGTACTCATTAAATTCTACTCCTTTATTCCTTTTATAAAACCAAATTTTTTTACATTTCGTTTTTCTTGCCAGGAAATGATTAAAATAACAAAATTTCTAGAGCAGGTCTAGAAAAAAGTCAAGTACAAAACAGAAAAAAAAAAGAAAAAAACACTAAATTAATAAGAAGGTAGTTATTAAGAGTAGTAAGGTGTTGAAAGCTGATTTGTTTCCTCTGTATGAGCTATAGGAGCCTTGCGGATTCCTTCACCACTCGATCCCTAAATAATGCTACCTTCTGCTTATAATTAATAACAAAAGTACAACTTTCCTAAGTGTAAAAATCCCAAATTCAATAAGTTCTTTTCTGTTCTAAATCGCTTTTAAATATCCATCAATTGTTCGTTCACGCGACTCTCCTTTATTTCTATTTACAACCGACCGATGTTGAGCCCATTTCAAAATCACCAATGCAGAACCGGCTTCCAGTTTCAGACAACAAGTTTTAATAACCATTAAAACCTCCAAATTTTAAGATTGAAATAAAATGACTGACAAGTTAGCAAGTAAAATTTATCCTTTTTCAAAAATGATATCGAAGTTTACTACGCAAATACGTAAAAAGACGCTTTTCAACAAACAGAAGGCATACCGCTGTAATATATAAGGAATAAAAAAGTACAAAAAGTTTCTACAGAATACTTCAGACTTGATTATTCTTATCTTAATGTCAAAAAATTAATGCTAAAAATTAACATTCAGAACTAAAAGATTTAGTTCTTTCAAAACTTCTAAGAGACTTTCATTACAACTACTTTTCACTGCGTCAGAGGCATATGCCGCTTACCTACAAAGACGTAGATGGGCATAAAGAAAGTGAAAATAATAATCACAAGATCTTGTTTCAGCATAGTGCAGACCACTGTAAACCGCAATCAGCTTTAAAAGAAATAAAAAAAGTCTAAAACTATGCAATTTTTTAATTTACCTTGGATTCTGCCGACGACAGTAGAAGAGCGTCATTTAAGGGCTCATCTGCATCTGGTAGGTCAAAGTTATTTTCAACTACTCCAAAAGTCTCTGTATTAAATAACAGTTAAAGTTTTAACTAGCAAATAAAAGCTGTTTTGAAAAAGTATTTATAATAACAATTTTAAGGTCTAATACTCAATAAGGTTTTGTATACTTTCGGTATTTCCTGACTGGGCAGGATATAAAGGTTGGCTAGAACCGCCTTCATCCTTCTGATCTAAAAAAGAAAGCAGAGTAGTACTTGATACGTAACTAATTCTGTTATTTAACCGGCGTCACTTTGCTCTTACAATTCAGTTTTGGTAACGCATGATTTTGAATTAATTGCAAAAGCGAAATCTTAACGAAAGGGATATAGAAAGTTATGTTGCACAATATCTTCTACGCAGTTTAGAAAAACTTGAAATACATTTCCAATATATTCGTCTAGCTGGAGACGCAAGCTTGACAAAAGTTCATACAAAACAAAAAGCAAAGCAAGACTGTTGGCATTCTAAAGTAGAAATTTTGTCGTAAAGCCTGCCGCTAGCTACCTAACGGTACAACAATTGATTTCGGTTTCCTGTACATGAACAAAATCAAGTATAAACTCCTTGTTTAGCTATTAGACAAAAAGATTATGCTCAATTTTGTTCGAACATAGAAAATCTAAGTTTAAGTTTTATTCCATCAAACAGCAACAAATAATATTTTCAGTGACTATGAAAGATGACTTGTCATGACTTGTAAACTGTCCAAAAAAATATTTTCTTACAATTAACTTTGAAATTTTAATAATAGGAATAATAAGAGATATCAAAAAAGTTTAAAATTTTATAACAGCTTCTAAGGCTGCCTCAAAACTGTAGTGTGAGCTATAAATAAAAAGCTGGAATTGGTCGTCACAAATAATTACTTTTTGAGACAATTTGACACCAAAAATAGCTCTGATCTTTTGATATTTTACATTTGAACAAAGCTATTGGTACACTTTTCTTTGAAACTAAACCAGTTATTATCCAAAAGATGACAGTAATTAATATTTCTACTGGAAACTCAGTACCATACAGTCTTAGCATTACTTTTTGTCCTGTGTTTGAAAGATAGCAAATTTAACATTTTGAATTAAAAACGTTTCCAAAGTTTACACACCTGAATCACCAGCCTCGGGAGGACGATCTAGTAGCGGTTGATCTTTCTCCTTCTTTTTTTTTTTACAACAGCATACAAGTATTATAATTAAGATAATAAGTATCAGCAATAGAATTAGTAATATTATCAGCCCTTGAAAAAAAGTTTGTATTAACTTGCAAATAAATTTTATTTCAGGCTAAACTGCTCAAAATTATACTTGAAAATGCACATATTTTTCAGACAGTAAAAACGTTATTGTTGACAGAACATTACTTGAAACATTAGGTACTGATACTTACAAAGCGGAATTCCCGAAGCTCTATTTGCTTCAGCTGGAAGTGGCGGTGACGTTTTTACGGTTACTGGTATGAATGGACGAACGTATCTTTCCATAGAAAATGGAGAATCCCATTCCGGATAAACAACATTGTCTTGTTTAGCTAGAAAAACCTATTAGATAAATCTTTTAACTGTGAATATAAAATTGAATTCCGCAGTTTTGGCAAAGTCTTCTTCATTTGTTTGCATGTGGTACGAATGCTCTATTTATTTTCAAAGTATCAAACAAACAGCAAAACCAAGACTTGTCAAGCGACAAGTTAAATAGAAAAAAAACAACCTGGTACAGCTCCCAGTAGTTTGAAACTTGAGCACTTATCAGCAAAGTTTGAATCGCCATGAGTTTTAAGAAGCAAAGAATATTCGAAATTGTTACGATCCGCTAACGCTCGTAATGGAGCATATTTCATGTCCCCAGTGTTGAAATCGATGAGAATATCTGTAAAGCACCGCTTCTAGAGGCAAAAAAGAAAGAAAAGAATTTCTGGTATTACTTGAAAAGCAGCACAATAGTACTTGCAGTCAAATGACACTAAACGATGTACATGGGTCAAATGATGTACATGGGTAGGAGGGTTTAATAGGCGAGTAGAGCCATATGAACCAAAAAAATATTCATGACAGCAATTTTTTTTAAGAAAAATTTTGTGAATTTGTTAAAAAATAAATAAATTTTAATAATTGTCGGTTACGGAAGTATTAAAATTGAAAAGTTTTACAAGAACTATATATACTACAAAAAAAAAAAATAAAATTTTATTGGAAACAGAGGGTCTGAGGCTTTCAAAAGCGCCAAAATTCTGCTGGAATTAGGAGATTTTTTTAGTTTACTATCACCTATTGTACCATAACTTTTGATGCCGAAAAGATGACACCTTGTAGTTTTCAGATTTTGTGTAGAAAATATGCCTTTAAAAAATGTGTCTTTTTTAAAAAATTCAAAATGACCTTTTTTGGAAAAAATCCTTTAAATTTTTGTTTTTATTTTATTCTGAAATAAAATTTGCTAATATACGCGCTTTTCCGTTTTTCTGGATTCACAGGAGACAACCTTTCAAAAGAATTAAAAATTAGGAAATTCCGTTGCGAATAAAGAAAAATACAAGTTCTTAAAGGTGACCATGCGGAGGGTGAATCGCATTATTTCTCGCACTTTAGAATGGTCTAACTTTGCCGCCAGCGCACTTTTTGAGGTAAACTCTTCCGATTTCAAAATCCGGTATCAAGTGCTACACGTATGCGAAAAACGAAAAAAATCTGAGAGGTCGAGGTTCAAAGTTGTGCGATTTGGCGTGGAATGGCCTATATATATATCGGCTACTACTTACTCGAGATACAACCAGTAAAATTTGCTTTTGTTTGTTCAGTTTCCGTTTCAAGAACATCGTCGTTTCTAGAATACAGTTCAAGAGTTCCACCGAAGTAAAATACAGTTGACTGCATTAGCGAATAGTCTTCCATTGCTGAGAGTGGGAATTCATACATAGTAGAATCAATCTGAAAATTACGTTTAATCACTTTGGTTTTGCTCTCAAAAACTCAGGTGAATAATTAGATAGAAAATATGTTAACTTACAGTAACAGAAAAAATACGCTTTGAATTTTGAACAGCATATACGAAATGTCTGTAACCATCAGCATAGTTGAATGGAAATGTATGTACAAAGGTGTTATCGGGCGTTATAATACCAACATTCACTGAACCATTTTTACACAGTATCATTTCAAGTCTTCTATAAGAAGATTTGTTAAAAATCTTGTTAGATCAATTCTATAAGTCAACATGAATCTAATTCCACTTTTAAACATCACATTAGGGTCTAAAGTTCGTTAATGCAATTTGTTACTGCAACGTAATAATGACTCTGACTGCACAAATGCAATATTAAGTTAATATGATATAAAATATAAGAGTTACTTAATTGATGACCTGTTATTTTCAAATTGAACTGTAGTCAAGACTTCAGTTTCATCTTGTTTACCGGCAGCAAATGCAAAACTAAAAATCTGTTCAAGAGGGTGAGCCCAAACAACACTACCCGTCAGTACACTGAATTGGAATGATACCACTGTGCCTCCATTGAAAGTCATGGCAGTATCTAACAATGGTAACAGTCATTAAGAATTATATTCAATAAGGTATGAAGCAGCAACCAACTTTATCAGTTTTTCTAGCATTTTCTCTATCTAAGTGCAGCCTCACACATTACAGTCATAAAAAACAAAAAGGTAATTTTTCACTTTTTGAAGAAAGACCTTTTTCACAATAATCTCCATAATATGAAGTTTTAGAACATTCGCATGTGGTTAGCCTAGCGTTCGGATTTGTATTTTCCCATTTAAATGTGCAGTGACCATCATTTTGACACTGGCTTTCAACTGCTTCACAGTCTGTTTCACAACCGAGACGCACATCTCCTTAAACAAAAGAAATATTGTTTTATTTTGGCGAGAAACATTAACTCGTCTCCCGTTGGGTAACCTAAGGAGAAATTACCTTTGGCATCCAAGCAAAGGCTCAATCTTTACTAAGCTTATATAGACTGACATCTAAACTTTCGCATTTTAACATTAAGAAATAATTCTCCCAAATTAATTACTCAAATTACGCATATTCACTTCTACAAACTACTTTTTACTTTTTAAAATTTTCACCTAAAAATTGAACAGATATTCATTAATTCAGAGGCTGTGTAAAAAAACATTAAGCCATCATTATGATTCAAATTTTTCTCTTTTTCACATTTATTTCTGCAAAATCCCACTCAATCTTTTCTTTGCCAGACATTATCTGGTTTTTTCTACAAATAATCTATCTGAAGTCATACTTAGAAATTTGCATGAAATTACTTTGTTGTCATTTACTGCCAAATCAAGGGATCTTCATCCGGTTTGCAAACAAGGCAACAAAATAATAATTCTACAACCAAATTACTAAATTTTTGGTATAACCCTTTTGAATTTACCATTTTTTTTAAATATAAAACCAGATAGATGATATGTTTTGAGAAGTATGTAGGTCTTCAAAATTTACCCTTTTCTGATTCATAGTAGGCCCAGTAACTTGTATTACGCAAATTAAATAACTGGTTGCCGACCATTAACCCCCGAACGCAACCCAGCAATCCTGCAACGTTGCTTTTATACACTGGAGTAATCAATGCTGTTTGACGTCTTTCAGTAGGTACGCCGCCGATGTACAAAAATGTTTGTGGTTCAGTCGGAACTCCAGCCGGAGAAATCGGTGGTATCACAGTATCTGAAAACAGCCCCTTAAAGTGTCAGCAGAATCTATAATAGCCCAAAATAGAAGATAACTGATGTATGTCAGGCAAGAGTTCGTTATATTTGTAGTTTTATTACCATTGTTAAATTCATAAAAATACATTTAGACGCAATAAAATTCACCATTTAAATCAAATATCAGTGAACCAGCTTCATATTCTTTGATGACTTCAGTTGACAGAGTCCTTACACCGTGAATTACACAACTTTCGTCGTCAACATTTAGTATTACCTTGTTGTGCAGTTGAAACACCATAATTTGTAACCACTTCATCCTGTTGAACTCTGAAAAGAAATAACAATTGGTTTTTTTTATAGATATCTTCGTAAAATTATAGAAAGTTTATCTAAGATTGGAATTTAGGAATAGTTACAGGTGTCATAAAGTGATGGTGGAATAAAAGTGATGGTGGAATAAAAGCAGAGTCGAAATCCCGTTTTTAACCTACTTTTAGTAAATATCCAAATTTTTAAAAGTGATTATAAAAATTAAAACTAGGTAAGAGATATTAAAGAAATATCATGTTGAAATTTTCTAATAATTTACTAAAAATTATTTCCGCTGTGCTGGAAAAATATTTATCTGTCGACAGTTCATTATAGAATAAAGTTGCTGCGCTCCTTCTCTTAGTAAAAACAATAAAATTGCTTCAATGAACTTAAATTTCCAGAATTTTTCAAGTGCAGCATATGGTTGCAATCTAACTGAGCGGCGGCAAAACACGTCCACAGCTCCAGTGTTTTGTAAAACTAAATTTGAACTTCTTTGGGACTTTTCACACTTTTTTCGTCTTACTTTTCCAAATGCCTAAAGATTAAAACGCGCGCGACCCCTATTCTAAAAATGACGACCAAAGCATAAACCATGTCCCTTGTTTGAAGAAAGAATTTCAAAAGAATTTACTGCATCTTTTTTTCTGGAATGACTATTCGTTTCGTTTCAATTCATACATTAGTTCTTAATTAACCCTTTAGATTTCTTCAGTTTTTGCCTACTTGTAGCATTTGGTTCTTGACTGCAGAATAGACAGAGATTGAATGAAAAAATACGCCGGCGGCAACATTAGACTCAGCTAAACTGCGGAGAAACGTAATATGTTTAGAGGATTGCCATTTTGTTCGTTCGCAATAGTTTTCCAAACCCTGCACTCTTTTTTGAAACCTAGTCTTCCGCAGATCCTGGACGGTAGTGAATTATTCATATTAAAGAAATATTTAAAAGCAAAAGTGGAGATGAAAGCTGAAACGTTCTGTTCAAAAATACAGTATTTTGTTTTTTCAAAAAAATTATATTTTTTAAACATATCATCTTTGATCAGTAAGTGAATTGCACTATGCTGTTTTGACAAAATGGTTAAAGCAGCTATGCCGCAGAAAATTTTTAACTGGTTCAGTATATTTCCGCTTTTACAAGTAACAGAATTCTGATTCTTATTGAAATATAATTATGTTGTAAAATGCTTCTATCTCACTAACCTTAATAATAGATATCTGATCATAAATTTTCATTGTTGACTCATTCAAGAGCAAATTTTCAAAGGAGAATCACAATGGTTACTTTTTAAGCTTACAATGCGTCTCTCATGCAACAAATTTTTTATTTAGAAGATTGGGCACTCCACATCGGCTGCTGTCGACAGATAGTGTTTTGTCATCATGGTCTCAACAGTACATGATGTAAAATAAATATATAGAACTTTTGCAGGACCACAGGAAGTGTCATCAGACCAAATCGCAGTTGTCGAAGATCATTTCCTTACGCGTTTTCTGCCGAAGATTTGTTTTTGCCTCATTCAAATTTTACAAATTCTCTCTTTCGGCAACTAATATTTAGATTCTTCCAGTTTCTTGTTGCGGCACAATCCTGCCAGTGAAGCAGGCATTTCTATGTCTTTCTTCAAAATTCAATTGTTTTTTGAAGAATTGACTAATACGGACTAACATGAGCCTCTACTAAAACAGATGGTCACGCAAAATTCTCTTCTTTAAAAACCTGCAAATGAATAAATTGTGTAACCTTCGCAGCTGTTTAACAGTATCCCTGAGTGGTTTTCTAAGTCACCGTTCCACAGTTTTGTGCAATTGCAAAAAAATTAGCTAAATGCTGGGACCATTGTAACAGAGCAACATTTGCTGTTAGCAACCAGCTTTGAGTGCATAGTGTTCCATTGAAAGAAAATTTGGTGAAGGAGCGGCACACGATAAGTGTAAAAAAACAGCCATTACAATTTTCCTTCGAAATTTCACTTATAATTTAGTCCGTAGGGAAAAATTTATAATTAGATATTTCTTACTTACTTTCACCAGAGTGAAGCGTATTATAATGTAATAATAGTTTAACAGAATTCAGAACATCTTCACTCGTAAAAGCGCCAAAAGACTGTACTAAATGAAGGTCTTCTGCAGCGCAATCTTAATTAATCTATTGTAATTAGCGACACAATCAAAATACTGTTTTGCGATTTTAGTGTTCCATATACAAATGACATGCTCACAAAGTATGCTTCAACTTAAAATGTCACATTTTTGAAGAGAATGCTATATCGGTGTTTATCCTCTGCCATGCTTTTTGTTTCGTTAAACTTAGCGTTGCATTGCTTTTCTGAATCTGCGGAAGACAGCGTTTTGAAATGAGATGCAAAAATTCGAAAGTTAATTGTGAACGAGTAAAACTGCAATCGTTAAAATGGCCGCCGCGTTAAGCAAAAATTGCCTCTTTTGGAATTTAATACGGTCTAACTGTAGCGCGAGTTTACTTTTCTAAATGCCTCCTTTTGACTTTGTAACTGAAAACCAAATTTTGTAAGTTGGCAAATTTAAGTGAGGTCTAGAAGGTCGGTTGAAAAGTATGCGGATTTACACGTGTGTACGTATGTATTTAGAGATATTTTTTGCTCATTAACTTGTTGAAAGGTGGTAACTAGAAAGTAAAGAATTTAGTGCCAAAGTTTTTAAAAAGGTTCATAATATCAGTTGTTGAAGGAACTCCCATTGTTTGCTGAAGTCTGAAATTTGGTTGTTTACCTTTTCCAATTTTCGCTACTACCTCACAGCTTTCAACTAAAGAACCCTGCATGTTCAGTGTCAGTACAATTTTGTTGTGACCCATTAAATGTACCTAAAAAAGTACTGAAAATAAGATAAAGTGCCAGTAAATAGATCGTGAAGAAAATATTATATTTCCTCGTTTTGCTGGTTGAACATATATTATTTTAGAAGGGTTGAAAGCTGAAGTATATTCTGTTAGTACGAAGCAATTGTTTAATTATGTAAGAACAGAAAAAAAGAAAGTCAAGTATATTTTTAACATTTTTACCTGTACAAAATTATGAAATTGATCATGAAGGTAAAATAGTAATGCATCCGCTTTATCCGTACGTACACTGAATACAAGGCGATCGCGTAACGCTGTCTCGGATGGATTTGTTATTATTATGAATCCATGCTTCATACTGTGCAAGCTTACCGATGTGTCATCGTTTATACCTTCAACATGCAAAGATGGCTGCTTCAAATGTGAATGGAGATGAATGCTATTAAACGAAGAATGCTTGTTCTTGATTGCAACTCCAAGCTTTTATTTGAAAAAGTTTCTTTTGTACAGACGGCGAAAGAGTCCAATAAGAAGAAAGAGTTAAAAGATAGGATCTGAATAGGAAGCATACTAACTTTTCTCGCAGTGTTCACCGGAATGAGTGATATTGTTCTTGCAAACACATTTCACTTGCTTTGTATCAAACTTTTCAACACATTTGCTGCCATACCAGCATTCGTGTTGAGCACAACGGTCTTCACACCCCATACTTACATATACTGGATCACCTCGACTTAGTCCCAGTAAAGTATTGTCTAGTTTTCCATTAATCATAAGACGTCTCACACCTCCCAAGTAACCATGTGTACCCCTATAACAGGAAATATCAACAGTTCCTTAAAAACTTGATTATGAAGCAAAATACAGTTTTATTTCATCAACGGATTACCGTCTCATTCCGTTTCAATTTTGTATAATTTAAGAGTTACCCTCCAATGTATAACCGCACAGATTCATTATGTGGCGGACTGAGCGAAGAAACTGTGCTCTGGTCGTCTATGGTAAATCGAACTTCATTTTCAATAATTTCCATAGTCATTCTATGCCACTTACCATCATTCAGTCTATAACATTTTTTTTTGGCCAATATAAAACTGTTCTATTTTGAGAAAAAAGCACACAAACATTAACTTTACAGATTAATGGAGAACAACTATTGGTAAATTAAAAACCTTTAGTATTTATTCAGCATTCTGCGTCTCAAAACATTTTACTGAATACACAGTGCTGTGGCGAAATAAGGACAGTCATTTCAATAAAAATTCAAAAATAAACGATTAAACCTGCTGTGAGATGTTACGGTAATATTATTTCCAAACAGTAATAAGTGTAGATGCCGATGATGTAGCCTTATGTCAAGCTTTTGATCTACGCTGGATATCAAAAATGCTTCTGTCATGTAAGTGCGAAACTCAAAGCTCAGATGTGTAATTTTCCACAAACCAATGCCATAGCTCTTGTCTTTATTTCTGAATGTGGCGGTGTAAAATTCTGTTCGGCCAGCTAAAGTAAAATTTATTTTCTTTTTTTTTTCAAACAGAAAATGAGACGTGACTCTGTCATGAGATGCTATAAAAGAATTTATACCTCCTCCGGAACAGTTGAAGGGCGATAGTTCTATAGCGCCTTCTACTGTTTTTCCATCAACAAGTGAAACCAATGATGTTATAGGAGCATACTTTTCATCAACTCTTCCACGATCTATTGCTGTCGATTGGCGATCGCATAAACACTCTTAAACAAAAATCGTAATTGATTTTTTAAAAATTTTAAATAAAGAGCATTTCTGTTTATTTTAAAGTATATTTAAAGAAGTCTTTGTACACTAAAACTTAACTTGTTCTTACTGAAGTTTTTCAAAAAAGTCTTCTTCTCTGCTACTCAAATTTTAAAATCATGGTAACTAAAAGAAAAAAAAAGATTTCTAGGAATATTACTAAAAGACATAGAAGTCTTCAACAAAAAAATTGAAAAAAATCATTTTAAATCTATAAATTTTTTGAACAAACAAAACTTACTATTGCATTTTTCATTTTTGCATTCACAAGTATTTTCTTCGTCTGTGAATGATGCAAAACGTTCGCCATCAAGCGATTCAAACCAAGTTTTGTCTTCAGAAAGCCTACAGTCAAAAACCATGCTGGTGCAATATCAAATCATCAGAAATAAGAAAGAATCAATGATATCTATAACAGTAAAATTAATAATGGACGAAATTAAGAGATTCTGATGGTTAATAGAGAGTATAATAATTCGGCAAGTAACATTTGACGTAAATCACCAAAGAGTTGTTGTTACTAACCGAAGCGGAGCGGTGTTGCATTTATACTGCACGGTTTGCTTGCAGAAAGCTGAATTTTGGCGTAACGCTCTCAACCCCTCAGTCGAGAAAAGTCTGGAAAAACCTACTATATGCTATTAAGAAAAACGTAGGGTAAAAAACAGAGTAATTTTTGTTTTTTTGAATAGTTAATTAAGGTCTTTTTAAAACACCTACTTGTAGTTAATTCGAGCTTTTATATCGCCTCGTTTTTCAGATTTTATCACCGTCATCGGTGGCATATTATGCGTTACCGAAGTTACACCATTATCGCAGTACGCATAGGTTTCCTCCAATGGCCCAGAACCGTCCATATCGATTATGTAGGTTCCTGGCAGGGTATAACCAGCTTGCCAAACGTCATCACAGTTTTGAGGTAGCACAGCTAAAAAAACGACGTTTTTTTTCTTATACGAGAACTGTCTGTTTCTGACAAATATACTTTTAGCTGATAAGTTTGTAAAGTAAAATAAACATAAAAATAAAGAAAAGTTCAGATATAAAAAAGCGTTTTTTAGTCCAGAAACAGCGTTGATTATCTTACAGAATTGACAATGTTTTCCGATGAATCCCTTTCTGCAGATGCAAAATGCTTCAGTTCCGTTTTTCACACATCCGACATGATTTTTACAAAACGACAGCTCACTATTATCACATATTTCTTGCTTAACTTCTAAAATTACAAAACAATTTTTTTTTTTCGAATACAATGTTCTAGAAAACAAAAATTACTACATAAAGTTATTGTAAAATAATGAACATTAATACATAGTCTATAAAATTATAGATGAATTAAACCATTTTTCAGCAAAATTCTGATATTTATAAACAACTTCCAAGTTTATCACCTTTGTTTTGCATTTAAGGGTGTATAACTTAAACACAAAAATGAATTTGACTATAATTCAAAAAAAGGAAGATTTAAGAGAACAATTAGCAATTAAAAACTGCCTAATGCAGGTGCCGGTACTTCTTCATCAAAAGTTTCGCTTTCGTCCTGAAACTACAGAAACATTGAGCTGCACAGTGACCATACTATTAAAACTTAATTAACCATATTTTGGCAACAAACTATATTATATTTTCATTAAAAATATTTTGTTTACACTTCTTCTTGTCAACAAAAAAAAAAGCAATAAAAAAATACTATTGCTTTCTCAAATATCAGTTTTTTTCACTAAGACTTTTATGCCACTTAATACAGTTTAGCGTAGCCTAACCGTTTGAAAAGACTTTTATTTCTGACAATAAAGTTACTTTTTTATAAAAAATCACTAAACAGCATTTATTTCTATAGCGGTGCTAAAATAATTAATTTTATAAAACAGACTTTTTTGCAGTAAGTGTTCAAACAATTATCTCGCTGTATTTTTCAAAGATTACACTGTTCAATGCTTCAAAATTTATTAGAAACCTTTTTTTTTTTTATTACTTAGACATAGATTTTGGCTATCTTTTGTTAGTGAAAAACAATTAAAATTTCTTCTCTTTTAATTTTTTACATAGATAACCGAACAAATTTTCCAATGTTACTGTATCATTTAAACGTTGTCCACCTATTGTGCTCGACAACTTTTGTACAGCAGAGAAAAGGCTGCTAATATACTTTTCAAAATTGGAAACTTTTGAAAACTTTTCAGCAGTCATCTTTCATTGTTATCGGTCTCCTTTTTTTCATACTTTTAAAAACTCAACATAAATATAGACATCGATAAAGGCAATCAAAAATTAGGTAAGAGAATAAAAAAGAAAAAGAAAAAAACGATTAAAAAAAAAAAGACAGCAAGAAAGCATATTGTTATAAAATTATTACAATGGTGTCAAAAACAGTGACTAATAAATGAATAAGTTTTTTTTTTTTTAATGAAAGATAATATGCTGTTGCTGATAAACAAATTACGGCAATAAATTCTCAAATTGAGCAGAAAAAAAAAGTTAACACATTAAAACTTACAACCATCCATGGTATTACTGGTATTTCGTCTATCTTTTTCTGTTTTATAAATTCGATCTTATTTGGCTAGAAAAAACCCCTTAATAATCGAAATTTTTCAGTTAAGATTATATTTAACAGCAACAATAACAACAAAAAAGCAAGTATTACTTTGCTGTAAAAGAAGCAGTAACAAACAAAAACTCTGTAAAAAATAGTTTTACCTCAACTATATTACTGCCTTCCCAAACAGCTGTGAAATCACCTACTCCGCAATCAGGAAGTGGTCTATTAGAGAAAGCCTAAAACATTAAAAAATATATTTGTTTTTGTTTGTACAATCTCAAGAACCTATTATAATGACAAAAAATTGTTATCAACGTTTCTTCTAAACAAAAAAAAAAAAATATTTTTTTTTTTGGAAATTTTGAAAAAGGTAGCTGACGAATAAAAAATAGATTAAGTAACAGCAACAGGTAAAAATAGCACAATTACTTTGCCTTCACCAGATTTATAAATGTTGATGACGTCATTATTATCGACATACACATTGCGCAAACAGCCTGAAATGCCGAGATCTACCTGGGAACCGCCAAAAAATATATGATTTCCAAGCCTTAAATAGCCTTCACTCAATACATTTATTGGTTTTAATAATAATTTCAGTTTTTTTAATGTTGAAATGTAGTCTTTTCGTTAGTTTTTTTTTTGCAAAAGTCTGCAAAACTGATCCAGAAAGTAGCAGAAAGAAAAACATATATACATGATATTGGGATCAGCACTTCTGTTACTCCATTTCGCTTCCCAACTCTCTCTATTGAGTGCCACACTTATCGTCTTTTCGGAATAATTGAATTCAACAGTTAGATTACAATAACTTCAACAGAATACATTTTTTAATGATAATCGTAAAATTAGCAAAGTTAGTCATAAAATTTATTTCTTAACTTATACCTTTTGCCGTCAAACTCATGTTTCTCAAATACAATTTCAGCATCAACTCCCATAGCAAGTTGAAGAACGCTGTTATTCAAAAATAACTTTATCACTTGAAATGAATCTTCATCTCCTTCTCTGGAGAACGAACCCATTATTATCACGCCATTGGTTGATCTAGTCTACAAAAAAAAAATTGATTATTACACCTATTATGCTTTATAATATCTTTGTCACCTAGCTGATCACAATCACTGTTTACTATTTAGTTGTTGTAATTTTTAAATAAACCTTGTATACAAAAAACTAGATTAGCAAAAAAATCACATACACTTTTTTTGTATTAATAACAAAATTTCAGCAATTGTTTACAAACCTTAAACTGAAGTCGAATAAACCTCGGCTTTAAACGTTCCGTGTTACGATATGCGATAAAGTCGCCATCGTCTAGTCTTACAGTTGTACTATCTACAATGACTCTGATAAAACAGTTTTAAAAAATTACGATTTACCGGCTACTTAGTACTTAACAAATTCACCGACCCACATCACATGTTTCACCATATGTTGTTGTTCCACTACAGTCGCACAACGCAACTCCATTTCTTTCTTGGCATACGCCCTACAAGGGTTGCTTTTTTAAATCACGTTTAAAAAATTCACATTCACAACTAAATTTTAAGTTTTTATGAAATTTATCGAACTCATTTACGTTGATGCAACAATAATGAGTTACAGATCAAGAGCACCATAGTAAAGCCTGGTCAGTTCCATAGTCAAGTGAAAATCGGTATTGTTTTAAATACAGTTTAATTATTTTTCTCTGAATTTCTCTTTAATTGTAAAGTACTTCAATTTATTTGACGCAAAAAACTTATAGATTGTTGTATTCAGTTTAACGCTACAACTTTAACATCTCAAAAAAAACGTAAACTGTAATATAGAATAAAAACTCCAATTTTCAAAACGTTGATTAAGCATTAACTTTGTTGCAGTTATAGCCCACACACGGATCCTGACATTTGTCCCCGATAGCTGCATCTTCAATTTTACTTTCTAGCCCTTTCAAGTCTATAAAGTTGTTCGGTCCTAAACTGAAGCTGCGGACTGTAATACATCCAGCAATACCAACTTCATCGTCTTAAATAAAAAAGTTTATGTTTGCAAAACTCTGCTAAAGATATTCAACATATATACTACCATCAGTCGATACACAAAACTACTTATTCTTATCTTCATAAAAGATTCATAACACTACAAAAACAAGTAAATTTTCAGAAAACTACTGCAAAACAGCTTTCAAACCTCAAAACGAACTGAAAAAAGACGCTTACATCAAGTTGATTATAAGCAATTTTGTCCCTGTTTTTCTACAATGCGATGCTTCTCAACGTTGGCAACACTGTAATTCTGAGCAGAGATAAGCTACGTTTTTTTGCTATTACGCTAGAAATTTGCTAGTACCAAAATACTGAGCAGACAATAGCATATTGAAAATCACGAGAACATTAAAGTTCAAGTTGTTGTGATGATACTATATGTTCTTCGAAAAAAAAGAGTAAATAACTTCAACAATGTAGAAAAGTGATGCTTTAAAAATGTTCTTAGCAGGCATATCTGGCTAGTTCTTACTAAGGTCGACTAGCATAAAGTCACTACTTCAAGTTTACAAACGCCACTGTTATAAATTGACACCTTACAAACCACGGCAAATAAATAAAAAAATTTTTAATTTTTTAACTGTTTAACTAAAATTCTAATATTTTAGAGTAAACGACGAAAAAGCTTAGATACACTATCATTAGTCAGTGCAAAAAATACTTGTTCTAATTTTTATAAAAAAATTTATTCTACTACAAAATCAAAAAAACTAATTAATTACCAACTAATTAACGTTTTTACTTTAAAAGATGTTTGCCGCAAAACAAATCACACTTTACCTCACTCAAACAATTATCATTAAACATCTAAACAGCATACAAGACCCAAACTCTTTTTCTTCCTGCTAGACACAAGCTTCAGAAACAATGTAAATATGGCTATTGATATTTATAATCAAAAAATAATGCAAAAAAAGCGAAAAAAAAAAAAGCCTCCTACACATAGAAACTGAATAAACTTCTTGATACTGCCTTTGCAGCTCATTTACACCGTAAACAAAACTATCTGCTGCAAAAATTTCTTTCGGCTCCCCCTCCTCAATAACAACGTTCTCTTTCTCGCATTTTACTACTCTTTAACAAGCTTACTGCTACTGTCTACAAACATAATATGAACACTCATATATTTCCATTCAGTTCTTCTTTATTCACTTTCTATAGAAAAAAATATGTATTATATATTATATATTATATATTATATATTATAT